GCCCACCCCTCTGTCTGTAGATCACAAGCTCTCTGCTATTCGAGGTGAGCCGGTCGAGGCTAGTGGTCCATATGCAGAGCTGGTGGGGTTCCTCATGTACCTGATGACCTGCACTCGACCAGATCTAGCGTACCCTCTCAGTCTCCTAGCTCGCTTTGTTGCGACAGGCAGGCACCGACCACTGGTCGGCTACCGGTACTACGGTATCTGGCAAGTACATCAGGACTGGGGCTTGTGCTAGGAGGACGGGAGCCAGTGGTGCTTAGTGGACACACAGACGCGTCGTGGGCTGACGAGTTGGAGACGCTCAGGTCTTCTCAGGGCTACTGTTTTAGTCTTGGTGTTGGTGCAGTCTCGTGGAGGTCTACTAGCTTATCGTCTGTATCTTAGTCCAGTTGTGAGGCAGAGATCTACGCTTGGGCCATGGCCGTTCAGGAGCCCCGCTGGCTGACGTTCTTTCTTACAGACTTAGCTGAGCAGCCTAGGTCTGCACCTGTCCTGTTTGCTGACAATAGGGGTATGAGCATCCTATGTCAAGAGGCTCGACTTGAGGGCAGGGCGAAGCATATCCAGCTGCGGTACTTCCTGCTGCATCAGTTACAGCAGCGCGGTCAGGCTCGTGTAGTACAGTTGGCCTCTGAGGCGAACACCGCTGATATCTTCACCAAGGCACTTGCGTCTCGTGACCATGAGCGGTTCTGTACTCAGCTTGGTCTAGTCTCCGTAGCAGCATCGCTCCTTGTATCCTGAGTCATGCTATTCGTGCTTGTACTTTCTGTGCTATACCAGCATGTCTTGTTAGTCTTGTTGATTGGCCTTGTGGCCTCTTTTCTCAGTGGTCAAACTAGTAGTGCTGCCCTGAGTTGTCTTGCTATCTTCACCAGAGGCCAAACTAGTAGGGCTTGTTAAATTATATAAGTTATTATATAAGTGTAGGCTTGGTAGATGTTACTGAACATTACTGTAGAGGGTACAACACCCCTCCTTGAATCCCTCTCTCTTTCTTTCTAGCCCTCTTTTCTCTCGACTTTCTCGCCTACCTCCTAGATCTATATCTCACGCCATATTCATGGCTTCACCTATTCCTACCTTGCCTACCTTCACGACAGTGCTGCCCTAGTTTGTTAAACTCTGCCTCTACCTAGACTAGGGGGTGTGTCAACAAACATATATTCTGTATAAACATATCTAGTTAGTTTAAATATGTTTGTTATAGCCTAGCTAAATCAGTTCTTTGAGGGGACAATATTTGTACTTGTATTCTCCCTCCCCTCTTCCTACTCACACCTTTTTCCCACTACTCTAACACTGTATCCCACAAGCCCTTTATTCGCAAATCTCCTCATCCTCACCAAATCTAAACAACACCAAGCATCAAGACATATCAGATGAAATTCGTCTGACCAAGAACGGTCGGCTGTTTAGTGACGCATTGCCACAAGGATAGTAGAATACAATGTTGAATATGAGACACACCAAGAGTAGTATGGTAAGGCAAGCTAGGGCCTAGGAGCATGCTTAGAACAGAGTGCCTTGCACGATCATGATAAGGGTTTGGGGGCGCTCCAGTTGCGATCAAGTGCAGTGCACTAGGGGACAGTCTCAAAGAATCTTATGACACTAACTAAACTTAGGAACCTAGCTTAGCTAGGATACTAGGAAGGCCGCCATGGAATGCCGTGAGGAAAGTAGATCTAGGAGTGTGAGGAGAAAAGTTGACGAGAAAGAAGGGGTTGGATTAGGAAGACAGAGCAGTACAAGGAGGGGATTGTACCCTCTACAGAAAGGTTCAGTAACAACCTACCAAGCCTATATTAAATTATAACTTATATAATTTTAACACACCCCCTAGGCTTGGTAGGGTCATGCCCACGCACACACCCACACCCACACCCACACCCCCTAGCCCAGCACCCCCATTCCCAGCAGGAGCCGCTACGACTCCGAAAGAGGGCAGCTCCCACGGCCCGTAAGATGGCAATGGTGGCAGCGGTGACAGTGACGACCGCGGCGGCGTCGGCGGCGTGCGGCAGTGCCAGGACCGCGGCAACAGCGGCAACAGCGGCAACAGCGGCGGCGGCGGCTCGAACGTCAGCGGCCGGTGCAGCGGCCCCCGCCCTCTCGGCGGCATGTCCAGTCTCCTCGGCGGTGGGCAGGGCTCTCATGAGGCAGTCGTCGGATGCAGCAAGAAAAGGGGAATGCACGGGAAGGAGGTGGAGGTGGGGGGGGGGGGGGAGGGGAGGGGGCGGGGCGAGTCTTCAGCGACGCGCCATAAGTGGCGCGGCGCTGACTGGCAGGAGGGCGGGCAGGTGGCGATTACGACGGCGTGCTGCCCGCTGCCGCCCATCGACACTGCCGCGGCAGCATGACGACGCCGCCAGAGCGCGGCGTCGACGGTGTGGGGGCACGCCGACGCTGCAACGGCAGCAAGGTGACGCTGCCACGGCAAAGCGTCGACGCCACCACGGCAGGGCGTCGAGGAGGCGACGGCCGCACGACGAAGCCGCCATGACAGGCCGGCATGGCCGCCACGGCGGGAAGGCAGTGACGAGAGAAATGCGCGGCGGAAGCGACGGCACGACAGCGCGACGCCACAGCAGTGCGTCGAGACGGCCGCGGCACGACGCGGCCAGCGGCACGACACAAGCGCCATGGCAGCGCGAGAAGCGTGAGTAGGCGGTCCAGCAGGAAGGATCTCCTGCTCTGATACCATCTCAAAGAACCTTAGGACACTAACTAAACTTAGGAACCTAGCTTAGCTAGGATACTAGGAAGGCCGCCATGGAATGCCGTGAGGAAAGTAGATCTAGGAGCGTGAGGAGAAAAGTTGACGAGAAAGAAGGGGTTGGATTAGGAAGAGAGAGTAGTACAAGGAGGGGATTGTACCCTCTACAGAAAGGTTCAGTAACAACCTACCAAGCCTATAGTAAATTATAACTTATATAATTTTAACAGACAGGGCTATAGTTACCCTTGGAATTTGTTCACAAGAATGAAGGCGAATGAGGGCGTGTCATAAGCGTTGATTTTGGGGAATTCACACGGGATTGTCATCAAGTGGTACTGTTCAGATGACTACACCGAAAATCAAACAAAAACCGCAGCGTGTCCAAACTGAGACGAGGCCATCCTTGAGGACTCGCAATTTTCGCTGCACGGTACATGTTTCTCCCAGGGCGTCTGGTAACAGCTATCGAAAGGCTAGGACTAGGCTAGGAGGTAGTGAAGGCCGCCATGAATGTGGCGGCGGGTTTTAGCTAGGAGAGTAGGCGAGAGTGTCGAGAGAAAAGGAGTTGGATTAGGAAGAGAGAGGAGTACAAGGAGGGGTTTGTACCCTCTACAGAAAGGTTCAGTAACAACCTACCAAGCCTATATTAAATTATAACTTAGATAATTTTAACAACAGCAACTGACGAACGGCTTGACGAAGAAAAAGAGGAGCACCAGTTGAGATATTTTACGTGTTTCACATGTACTATCGCACGCACTCTGCAAACCCTATTGAAGCGAACCCCATCGTGTTTACCCTCCCAAAACAAAAATCGTGTGGTCACAAGTGATTTTCAGGTAAATGGAAGGCTGTGTGAATTGAGTATGAACGCTTATGACACGCCCTGAAGAGAAATAACAGAGTGCATAGGTGGCAGAGCTAGCAAGGCGATACGAATATGAGTGCATAATGGAAAGAGCCAGCTTATAAGAAAGTTACAAATGTTACATATTCAGACCCTAGTCCCCCCAGTTCTGCGCACCCTCACTTGGAAGGCCAGTTCGTTGAACCAAGTTCTAGAGTACAGTGCAGTTATTGTTACTGTACAGTACATGAAACCGAGGGCACTACTGTACAATGCCCAATCAACGGCCAATGGCGTCCCCTCCTGGAGCATTTATGGTACCACGTGATACGACGACCCGCAAAATCTTGTCGCCTTTCCCCACTCCAGTTTCTGGCATCAGTTCCTTCCTGGCTAGTTTCAATTGGCTAGACCAATTTCAGCGTCATCAGCGGGCAACCGTGACAGATCCATCAGTAGACATTCCTGGCCTCGAAACTATTGCCTTCGAACAGAAGTGTTCGTCGCAGAATTTTTGGGATCGGAATTGTAAATGCCTGCTTCGTAGGTTAAACCTTGAAGTGGGGAATTCCAGACGTTCCCGAGCCAGGTCCCAAAACTTTCAGAATCTCCATCAATTTTTCCGAAACTGATTAGAAATCCACCCTGCTCGCGTCCCGATTCTAAGTCACGGGACTCGGAAATCAAGGGAATCCCCGAAGACGGGATCAGTTCTTCTTAGTTTCCGAACTCATGCTTTAACGCACCTTGACTTCTATGAATCAGGGGTAGCTACCCTTCTAGTGTAGAATCTGTTCGTAACAGCCTGGAATACGACCTCCATGCTATACTTCTGCCTTTTGTTTCAGGCAAAGGTCGCCCAGTTGGCAAGCTCTAGGGTGCAGATTAGAGGGTGCGGTACGGAGCGGTTTCTCGCGTTGATGTGCGTGGGAGAGTGCTAGAGTTCGGCGCCTGAACTGGCACTCCGCAGTCAGCAGCATCAGGTCAGGTCGTTGCTCCATCCCCCAAGTTGAACAAACGCCACGTGCCCCAAATGTTTAGCATATCTGACCTACCAGACCTCAGGAAACTTTCATGAATAAAGTTTGTCCACGTTTCAAGAAATGTACTAACTTAGCTGGGAACTGGCGGAAAGTACAACCAAGAACCAAGGGAAGATGGAAAATGGATAAGGGCAGGCGTGTCCGAAGGGTCCGTCTTATTGTGGTCGGGAAGGTTTAATTTGGGGATAAAGTAGCATGCTACGGTTAAATAACGTATTGTACGAAAACTCACTCTTCGGACGTGACCTTATGCCTTTGGGTATTAGGTATCCCTTAACGACACCAGGCTGACAAAGAACTCGTGCGTTTGTTTTTACTTCGCCTCAAATATGTCAACGAATACGCACTGAACGTCAGGGCTTCCCCTTCGTTCCCCACTCAGGTTTCGTCGATCTTGGGCCCCAACCACCAGCTTCTGGGTTCTGCAAAACTAGTGTTGTTCGAGCTGGAACTAAGTTGGCAATTCCACCAAGATTAGAAGGCTCAAGCCCGTTCTGACGGCTGGCTGACGTCCTTTTGATTTTGTCGTCTGACGTCCCTAGACAAAATTGAGGGTTTCATCGCCCCGTATTTATCGATGCTCTATCTCTAAATGCGCGCGTCGTCGCGTTACTTCCGCCATGGATAAAGAGGTGGAGGCCCAACGACCCAACGTCCCAGGAGCTGTTCACGCTCAAGAAAATGGGATTGTTAACGCAACGAAAGAAAAGATTCCAGCACTTAGCAAAGTAATTGATGACGTGGAAGGCCCATTGGCTCCTGAGGATCCGGACAAGCCGGCTGCCGATAATGGAGCAGCGGATGGGAGCGAGCCTCAGGAGGAGCAGGAGCTTGTTGGTTATATCGGAGCGGCTAATGGCGCGTACATCTTGGCGGACTATGGGAGGGATGCGGACGCTTTCCGCGAGGCATTGCCGAAGGCTCTGGAGAATTTGCCACGCCATTTCGCACAGTATTCCATGGTGAGCCTAGGGAGGGAGCATCCGGTTTGACTTTTTTCGACGTTTTTGGACTCGACTAAAAAATACACCTAGGGAGCATCCGGTTGCTCTTTTTCAGTCGAGGCATCATCGGAAACAAAACAGTCGCATGAGGATTCGGGAAGAGAGTGAAAAAAAACATTCAGAAGCACAAAACACCATGTGAGGATAGAGTTTCCGGGGATCAATGCAGAGATGGAAAAACATGCACGCAGAGATGGATAGGTTTGCGGCGGTCTTACAGCCTAGGGTCTAGAGGCACTTGTTTCCCGTGATGTAGTGCATTTCGTTCATCGCTCGTCGTTCGTCATGTGCTGCATTTCGTTCATCGCTCGTCGTTCGTCATGTGTTGCATTGAGTCGACTCAAAACTCACCTCGCTAGCGGTCCTACAGCCTAGGGTCTAGAGGCGATTGTTTCCCGTCATATGCTGCACGTCGCTCGTCGTTCGCCCTTCCCACCGTCCGTCATTTCTCCGTCCCTCCCGTCGTACTTCGGTCCGTTATTCCGTTTGTCGTCCTGTCAGTCAGTGTGTCCGTTTGGCCGTTGATTCTGTCGCGTTCACATTTCCGTCCATGTGATAAGAATGCGAAAGCTTGTTTGAGCTCTACGCGGCTGTCGAAACTGCTACTCCTTAACCCTTAGATGAGTGTTTTTTAGTCAATCTCTTGATTGAGAGAAAGAAAAGAGAAGAGAGAGAGAGAGGGTTCAGGGGAGGCGGAGAGGGCAGGAGAAGGGGGGGAGGAAGGGGGGGTGGGGTTTTGAGAAGGGGAAAGAGAGAGAGAGAGAGGGAGAAGGAGGGGTTGGGTGGTGGAGAGAGGGGAGAGGGGAGGATGAGGCGTTTGTCCGTTGAGGCCTGGCACTCACATCTTTTGCCACAGTGCATGGTATTGTGCGGGGAAACTTTTGAGGCGCCTCAGAAGTCGTTGCGGCCAGGCGCTCACATCTTCTGCCACAGTGCATGGTATGATACGAGCATGGCATGAATACTATGAGGTAATATGCTTCTGTAGATGCTTCGCGACCCTTTTGCCTCACGAACCCCCCGCAATCCCTTGCTAACCCCCCCAATCCCTCGCTAACCCCCCCAATGCCCACACTCAAACCTGAAGCCGATCGGTTCCTGCTACTCCCTGTCATCCCCTTGAATTCCCGTCCGTCCCGAGCCTCAGGGCTACGTTCGGATGTTTGTGCTCCGTTCCAAAGACTCGACCCAAACGTGGTCCTCCTCTCCTCGTGCTGCTGGGCTACAATCCGCTCTTGGAAGCGATCACCCCACCCCTTCGCTCCCCTCCATTTCCCTCCGTTTACCTCCCGCCCCACCCCCCTCCCCTCAGGGTTACGGGCGGCTGTTCGTCCTGTTTCAAAGGCACCATCCAGGCCTGGCGCTCGTGCTGCTGGGCTACAACCCGCTTCTAAGACTCAGGCTCCCGTCCCTCGCGTTCCCTCCTCTCCCCTCCCCTCCCACTACCTCAGGGTTACGGGCGGCTATTCGTCCTGTTTCAAAGGCACGACCCAGGCCTGGTGCTTGTGCTGCTGGGCTACAGTTACAGCCCGCTTCTAGAACTCAGTCTCCCGTCCCTCGCGTTCAATCCTCTTCCCTCCCCTCCCACTACCTCAGGGTTACGGGTGGCTGTTCGTCCTGTTTCAAAGGCACCACCCAGGCGTGGTGCTCGTTCTGCTGGGCTACAACCCGCTTCTAAAACTCATGCTCCCGTCCCTCGCGTTCCCTCCTCTCCCCTCCCACTACCTCAGGGTTACGGGCGGCTGTTTGTGCTTTTTCAAAGGCACCACCCAGGGCTGGTGCTTGTGCTGCTGGGCTACAACCCGCTCCCCAAGGCCCACGCCCAGACCCTCCTGGGCAGTGTAGCGGGGCCGCTCGCTGCAGCCACAGGCGTAACAATCACGCCGTACTCCGCATCCGCGCCGCATGCGGCGGGGAAGTGGAAGGGCGGGTTGGCAGGGGCGGAGCGGGAGAAGCTGAGTGCGGCGCTCGCGGCGCTGGCAGGGGGGCTGCGAGGCGTGGTGGGGTCGACCATGGCGTGCATGAAGAGGTGCGCTGGGGGATGTGGAGAGGTGTGCTGGGGTGTGGGGAGGTGTGCTGGGGTGTGGGGAGGTGCGTTGGGGTAATGGATTGGCACATGATGGCATGGCTTGTAACGGCAGGGTCGTTTCGAGATGGTGAGATTGTCCATGGTGGGGCCATGAACGATGCCCCGTGGCATGCATGGGAGAACGACTGTCGCTGTGGCATGGCATACACGCAAAGACAGGCGACTTTTGAGTCGACTCAAAAGGGGTGCCTTTTGAGTCGACTCAGAAGAGGTGACTTTTGAGTCGACTCAAAAGAGGCCCTGTGGCATGGGTGGGAGAACGACGTGGCATACATGGGAGAACGCCGTGGCATACGTGGGAGAACGGCTGTCGCTGTGGCATGGCACACATGCAAAGACGGGCCGCAGGCGTGAGGTCGCCATCACGCCTCCTCATTCCCCACCTTAGGGTTACCAGCACCACCCTAAGTTTACCAGGACTATCCCCCCCCACCAACAATCTCTCTCGCTTTCCCTCCTTTTAAGTACCCCCACGGACTGCAAGCCTACCTTGTGAGCCCCGATTTTCCTACCATTTCCCCTTCCCTTCTCACCCTTCCCTTCTCACCCTTCCCTTCTCACCCTTCCTTTCTCACCCTTCCCTCCTTGTACATAGCCTGAAATACCCTGACACTAGTCCCGTTTTGAGTTGACTCGAAACGAAACTTGTATCCCAAAGAGTCCTGATGGGGACTGCCCCATTCCTCCAGATGATGGTGACGAGGAGGCGGAGGGGGAGGAGGTGGAGGGGGAGGAGGCGGAGGGCGAGGAGGCGGAGGGGGAGGAGGCGGAGGGGGAGAAGGCGGAGGGGATGGAGGAGGAGAGGAAGGCCACATCTGTTTTCTTACCGTTTCCCCCTTGTGTTGCATTGCCCACCTGCAGATACCCTGACAGACCGCAGGCCTATCTTGTGAGTCCTGATGGGGACTGCCCCATTCCTCTAGATGACAATGACGAGGAGGAGGAGACAGGAGGAGAGGAAGGTCACATCTGTTGTCTTACCCTTCTCCCTTGTGTTACATTGCCCACCTGCAGATACCCCGACGGACCACAGGCCTATCTTGTGAGTCCTGATGGGGACTGCCCCATTCCTCTAGATGAGACGGAGGAGGAGAGTTGTTTTCCCATTCTTTCCCTTCGATTCATATCCCAATCTGCAGATACCCCGACGGACCGCAAGCCTATCTTGTGAGCCCTGATGGTGACTGCCCCATTCCTCTAGATGACGACGACGAGGAGGAGGAGACGGAGGAGGAGAGGAAGGAGAGGAGGAAGAAGGAGCGGGCGCGGAGGAAGGAGGCGAGGGAGAGGAGGGATCAGATGATGGCTGAGAGTGAGAAAGAGGGGGGAGGGGAGGGGGAGAGTGGGGGGGCGAAGGAGGAGGGGGAGAAGGGGAGTAGGGACGCGGGTGTGTCGGCAGCAGGTGCAGCTGATTCAGCAGGCAAGGGGGGAGCAGGAGAAGGAAAAGCGTCGGCAGAAGCAGGAGCAGGAGCAGGAGCAGGAGCAGGAGCAGGAGCAGGAGCAGGAGCAGGAGCAGGAGCAGCAGGGAGGGCAGATAAAGGGTCACAGGTGGCAGGTGTTGTGGGGCAAGCACCTATGCCGGGTGCGAGTGTGAGCAGTGGTGGTGGTGGTATGGTTCGTGATAGGTATGGTGATGCGACCTACAAGCACCAGACGTTTCTGCAATCGCAGCAGAAGCAGGAGCACCAGCAGCAGCAGGACAAGGACCAGGAGCAGGAGAAGGAGCAGAAGCAGCACCAGCACCAGCACCAGAAGCAGCAGCAGCATCCCCAGCAGCAGCATCCCCACCACGAAGGCCAGCATTTCCACTTTCATATGAGCTTTAGTCATCACCATCAGGGCAGTCATCATCAGCAGCAGAAGCAGCAGCATGCACATGCGGGCTCAGAGTGCCAAGACTGTAGCAACCACAGCGGCAGCCAGCACAGCAGCAGCAGCCACCACGACGACAGCCGTCACAGTGGCAGCCAGCACGCCCAGTTGCACCTCCCCCTGGTGCAGCCGTCCCCACACACGCCTGCAGGCTATGCCGGGTCGGATGCAGAGGGGCACACTCCCAGTGAGGAGAAGCGCAAGCGGTTCAACGCTGGCGAGTGGATCGGGAACCTGATCAAAGGGAAGGACCACAAGGAGCACGCGCAGCACGGGCAGCATGGGCATGCGCATACGCATGGCCATGCACTTGCACATGCACACTCACAGGAGCATGCACATGGGCATGGGGTGGGCCTGTTTTCGGGGCACGGCAAGGCTCACCAGAAGCAGGAAAGCCACGTGGGCAGTGACTTTGTGGCGGCTGCTGCTGCCCGAGCCAAGGCTGCTGCTGCTGCTGCGTCTGCTTCTGCTGTTACTGCCTCTGCTGCCGGTGCTGGTGGTGGTGCTGGTGGCGCTGCTGCTGCAAACGCAGGTCATGGGGGGGTGGCAGGAGCGGCAACAGGTGGAACAGTGGCTGCGGGAGCAGTGGCAGGTGGTTCTGCTATCCACTCACATGAGCATGGGAATGGGCACGGGGATGGGCAGGGTGGGCAAGGGCATGGGCATGGGAGTGGGGGCCATGGGGGTCAGGAGCATGAGGCAGGGGGGGAGCATGGGCATGGCATGCATGCATCACCAGGGCATGGTAAGCATGTTGCCGCAGGGGCATCCGGGCATGGTGTGCATGGGTCTCCAGCACATGGCATGCATGGGTCCCCAGGGCACCAGCAACAGGGGCATGGGCATGAGGATGGTCATGATGGTAGTAACCACAAGCATGGCATCTTTGGTAACTGGGGGCATGGCATGCATGCGTCTCCAGGGCATCAGCAGCAGGGGCATGGGCATGACAGTGCGCATGGGCATCATGACGGTAGCAACCACCATGTCATACTTGGAATTTTTACACATGGGCATGAGCATAATCCCGACCATGCACACGCACATGCACATGCACATGGGCATGGGCATGGGCATGGGCATGGGCATGAGCATGGGCATGGGCATGGGCATGGGCATGGGCATGGGCATGAGCATGGGCATGGGCATGGTGTAGGGCTGTTCTCAGCGCACGGCAAGAGCCAGAGGCAGGAGAGCCACGTGGGCAGTGACTTCGTGGCGGCAGCTGCGGCCCGAGCTAGAGCTGCTGCTTTGGGAACTGGAGGCTCGGCAACAGGGGAGGGCACAGGCAGCGAGCGCAGCTATGACAGCATGGAAGGGGGGAGCAGGCAGGGCCACGGGTCGGAACGTGGGCATGGTAAAGGGCATGGGATGGGGCATGAGCGTGGGCAAAGGCAAGAGCAGGGGACGGTGCTCCAAGAGCCAGCATCCCCGGCTCACTCGTCCTCCTCTCAGCACAGCCAGAAGCAGCACCTGGCATCGCCACAGCATCAGCAGCAGCAGCAGCAGCCATCACCTCAGCAGCAGCAGCAGCAGCAGCAGCAGGAGCCACATAAGCATCACCACCAGCACCAGCACCGCCACCAGCAGCAAAAGGAGGAGAAGAAGAAGAGCAAACAGAGCAACGTGGGCAGCAGCCTTGTCTTCGCAGCAGCAGCAGCAGCGCGGCAGAAAGCAGCAGCAGCAGCAGCAGGAGGAGGAGCAGGAGGAGCAGGAGCATCAGGGAGGCATCTAGGCATACCTGGTTCAGGCAGCATGGGCGGCACTGGTGGCACGGGTACGCCTCTCAGTTGTAGGAGCGGACCGGCCAGCGGCATGAACAGCGGGTTTGGCAGCGGGGCTGGCAGCAGCGGCAGCATCAGCCCCATCAACAGCCGAGAGGGGGAGGAGCAGGAGCGGGAGCAGAGTCATCTTAACCCCAGAGCGTACCAACTGACTATGCACAGCGCCAGCACCCCTGGTGGTAGCAGCGTTGCTGGCAGCGGTGTCGATGGTGGTGCTGATGCTGATGGTGCTGCTAGTTATGGTGCTGGTGCGGGTGTTGGTCCAGGGGGTGGTAGTGGCAGTGGTAGTGGAAGAAAGGAGGGGGAGGGGAAGCTTGAGTCTGTATCTTCCGGGGGGGGGACTAAACAGGGCAAGGGGCTGTTGTTTGGGATCAGCAAATCCATAGGAGGGGCCCTGGGTAAGGAAGGGAAGGAGAAGAAGGAGAAAGAGGAGAAGGAGAAGGAGAGGAGGAAGAAGGAGAAGGGGGAGAAAGAGAGTACGGTGGGAAGCAGCTTCGTGGCAGCTGCAGCAGCCAGAGCAGCGGCAGCTGCTGCCACAAAGGAGCAGCTTGGGGCCGCTGCTGGATCAAGAGGTGGGGGAGGGGGGGACGGGGTGGGAGGAGGGGGGGGTTGGATTGGGAGGATGAGTCCAGGGGGGAGTGCTCAAGGTAGTGCTGGTGGTGGTGGTGGCGGTGGTGGTGTTGGTGCTGGTGGCGGTGATGCTGGTGGTGGCAGCAGGGGCGGCACGGGTGTGAGCAGCAACAGGAGCAGCAGCAGCAACCTGCACCAGCAGGAGCAGGCGCCAGCATTAGAAGCTTCTGGAGTGTCTAGTGCCATATCGACTGAGCAACAGCAGCAGCAGCAGAAGCAGACTCAGCAGTACCAGCAGCACTACCAGCAGCAGCAGTTTCAGCAGGAGGCAGATCGCGAGTCAGTGAGCGAGCGAGACTCAATCTCAGAGCGGGGAGCCGATGCCGAGGACACAGAAGGGGAGAGCGTCGACGGGGAGAGTGTGGAGGGGGAGAGCACAGAGGGGGACCGCGGCGACGGGAGCATCAGCGGTGGTGGGGTTGGGAGTGGCAGTGGGAGGAAGGGGCGGAAGGGGACGAAGAAGGCGGGGTTGCGGGGGTGGCTGACAAAGAAGCTGCACGCGTCCTCCTCCTTGCCCCCTGCTAGTCCGGAACGAGGGGGCGGGCTCGCCTCCCGGTCCGTTCCGACCCGCCCCGGTGGGAGCCCGGGCCGCCTGTTGGAAAGCCCAGGTGGCTCGCCTAGCCATGGTGGGGTTGGCCTGTCGCCTGGCCGGGTTGGCCCGGGGGCGAAAGGTGGCAGCAGCTCACAGGATGGGATCAGCTTGGCGCACAGCCGAGGGGGGTCGTGGGAGGACGGGCCAGGAGGTGGTGTTGGCGGGGGCAGTGGTGGTGGTGGGGGCAGTGTGGCTACTGTGTAATGGTGTTACTGGGGGCCGTCCAGGCATGTCATGGCTGGATTGGCCCGGGGGTTAAAGTTAAAGATGGCAGTGGCTCACAGGATGGGGTGAGCCTGCTGCACAGCCGAGGGACGTCGTGGGAGGACGGGCCTGGGGGTGGTGGGGGCACTGATGCTGCTGTTGCTGCTGCTGCTGCTGCTGGTTGCAGTGTGAGTACTGTGGATTGGAGTAGCTTGAGCACAGGCAGTGCTGGCAGCACTGCCGACGAAGCGAACTCGCCTAGGCACGGTGGGAGGGATCAGCTTGTTGCTTAGCTGAGGAGGGTAGCTTGACACTTAGCCGAGGGGGGTTATAGGAAGGAGGCCCGGCAGGGGGTGACATTTGAGTTGACTCAAGAGGAGGGGCCTTGGAGGGGGTGGGTGTATTGAAAGTGATGCAAGTGGTGCTGCTGGTGCTGGTGGTGTTGTTGCTGCTAGTGGTGGTGCTGTGGAGTGGTGTAGCAGCGCCAGAGCTTATCCCTTTCTCCCTCGCCCTCCTACACCCGCTTCTCCCATCCCTTCCTCCTGTCTCCTCACCCCACTACCTCAGAGGGTTGAAAACTCTCCTGTCCTCTCCTTGTGCACGTTTGTCCCCCCACCCCTTCCCCCCTTCCCCTCCCCCCCTCCCCCATCCCCTACCCCTCGTCCCTACCCTTCCCCACCTTGTATTTTAGAACCTCACCTCACCCTTCCTAGTGTTATCGCTCAAAGGTCTTCGATGCATGTGCCGAGAGACTCTAGGTGCTAAGTGTCGAAGTTCTTGGTCACGAGTGAGTGATACACTTTGTATCACTTAGCACTTAAGGTACTAGGTTCAGATACAAACGAGCTCAGTAGGGCAGATCTCCGGACGTCACATTGGACTTGCGATTGCAGCATTTTGTTTGTTTTCCCATAATTTGCCTGCTATGCTGCACTGTCTGTAGTGTTGCCAGCACAACTATTTATGCTAGACAATGTTTGCCCAGTAGCTCAACTAAGGGTGAATTCCTATTGTTGTAAATACCTCGAAGACTTAAAGCCCGTGGCAATAATAGCAATCAAGAAGGCTATTTAAAGCCCGAGTCTAGAATCGTAAAAAACCATGAATACTGGGCATGAAAACAGTGCCAAAAAAACTGGGCGAACGTAATTTCGGCAAAGTTCCCCCAACGAACCCAGAATTCGGCGAAATAGCAGAACTGTGATCGCAGCACGGAATTTCGTCAGCAACATCCGAGTTCAATAGCGCATGAACAGTGTGGGGGGGCGGGGGAAGGGGGGGAACAATGTGTGACACGAGACCCCCACAAAAATGCGTTCAGAATGGTCACAGGCGAAACTCAAGAATACTGAGCGCTACAGTAATTACGGGTTTGTCCTTTTCAGCGGCATTCGCGAGCTGCCGCTTGTTCCCTGAGAGTTGCGACATTCAAACGGCATTTACTACGTTACCCTCTATTGGACGAAAACAAGTTCAGGATATCATAATTGAGAAGTGAATATGGATAGAGTGAGAGCACACACAGATATACCTAAGTATTGTATTCTCTAAGAGGCGACCCTATACAGTCTATACAAACATGACAAATACACATGTTTGACACACCCCGTAGACTGCATAGGGGAATGCCCTAGACAAACAGCTCAGGGCGGCACTACTAGTCCAACCTCTGAGACAAGGGTCTGAGAGACCAGTCAGAAGGAGTACAAACAAGGCAAGAACAAGAGCAGGGCGGCACTACTAGTCCAGCCACTGGGAGAGGACACAAGTCCAGTCTGAGTGTATAAAGGACAGTACAAAGTCAAGGTCCTAGCAAGTGAGAGGCTACAGGAACTAGACCAAGCTGTACACAGTGCCGCTGATGATCTTTAGGCGCAAGCGCCTTCGTAAAGATATCAGCCGTGTTGGCACCTGAGGCCAAGTGTACTACGCGAGCCTGACGTCGCTGCTATAGCTCACGCAGGAGGAAGTACCGCAGCTGAATGTGCTTTGCTCTGCCCTCGAGTCGAGGCTCCTGACACAGGAGGATCATGGCCCTGTTGTCAGCGAACAGGACCGGGGCAGAGCTAGGCCGCTCACCTAAGTCGGTAAGCAAGAAGGTCAGCCAGCGGAGCTCCTGTGCCGCCATGGCACCAGCGTAGATCTCAGCCTCACAGCTGGACTGCGCAACAGACGAGGAGCGGGTAGCTCTCCACGAGACGGCACCTGAGCCAAGGCTGAAGCAGTAGCCCTGGGTAGACCTGAGTGTCTCAGCGTCGTATGCCCACGAAGCGTCTGTGTGTCCTGTAAGGACCACTGGCCTGCGTCCTCCTAGCACTAACCCCATGCCCGATGTACTAGCAAGATAACGCAGAACCCTCTTAGCGGCAGACCAGTGCTGCGGTCGGTGTCTGCCTGTGGCCACAAAGCGAGCCAGGATGCTGAGAGGGTATGCGAGATCTGGGCGAGTGCAAGTCATCAGGTACATGAGGCAACCCACCAGCTCTGCGTAGGGGCCGCTGGGCTCTACCAACTCCTCAGACACTGGAGCGGAGAGTCTGTGGTCTACAGGCAGAGGGGTGGGCTGTGCAGAGGAGAACTGAAGGCTGAACCTCTGAAGGACCTGGCGCACCAAGTGTGACTGAGTCAGGGTGATGGTGCGCGCAGCTTTGTCCCTGGAGATCTGCAAGCCGAGGTAACGGCGCAGTTCTCCAAGGTCAGTGCTCGTGTGTCTCTTCAGCAGCTCTGCCTTCACGGAGGCCAGTGCGTCCTTGTCAGCTGTGGCAAAGACCAGGTCGTCGACGTAAACAAGGATGTAGAACGGAGTCTGGCCAGCACGAACGAAGAGTAAAGGGTCTGCGGAAGACGGAAAGAACTGCAGGTCAGCAAGCGTAGCACGAAGAGTGTCGTGCCACTCACGAGGAGCCTGGCGCAGGCCGTAGACGGGGCGCCGCAGGAGCCACTGGGTCCCAGGAGGGAAGGTGCCAGTGAAGCCCTGAGGGCGGCGCAGGTAGACCTGCTCGTGTAGGCTGCCCTGAAGGAAGGCAGTGGAGAAGTCGAGGGAGTGAAGCTCGTAGTCACGCTGAGCAGCTAGGTGTAACAGAACCCGAAGAGTAGTCATCTTCGGGGTCGGAGCGAAGGTCTGGAAGAAGTCCACCCCCTCGCGCTGACTGAAGCCTCTAGCGATATAGCGCGCCTTGAAGACAGGCAGCTCTCCAGGAGGGCGCTTCACCTTGAAGAGCCAGCGGCCATCGACTACGTTCACCCCAGGTGGGGGAACTGCGTCGACGAAGGTGCCGGTGGATCTCCAAGATGCCATCTTCTGCTCCATGGCAGCTATCCACTGCGAGGCCCAGGGTCCCGAAGTCGCCTCAGCGTAAGTGCGAGGGGTCGGGATGTCGAAAGCGTCTGGGTCACCCTCAGGGACTAGCAGCATGGAACAGAGATGGGGAGCAGCCTCGGAGAGGAGAGCAAGCTCGAACTGGCGGTCCTCCAGGACGTCACTGCCAAGGGCAGGAGCACCCCCGACAGACGGAGGACAGGCAGGGTCAGAGACCAGAGCGGAGGCGTAGTCAAGGCGGCGGGTAGAGGCGAAGTCAGCGACAGCAGCGACAAGAGCGTCAAGGCACGAGGCCGGAACAAACGGGTCGGTAACGAGAGAGGCAAGGACCCGAGGAACAAGGGGACGAGCAGCACGAAGGTAGTCAGACAGCGGGGGGGGTGCAACAACAAGGGAGGACGGAGGAGGCGACGGCAGAAGGGGAGGACGAGACGCGTGGGAACGAAGCAACATAGGGTGGGAGCGCAAGACAGGCGAGGCAGGACGAGCACGGGAGGGACGGTGAGACCAGACGTGCGACGGAGGAGTCGGGTCAGGAGACAGAGGAGGGGACACAGGAGGGGAACGAGGGGGGAGACGGGCCGGGGACGAGTCCGGCGGAGGGAAGACAGGGCCGTAGACAAGAAGAGAAGGAGACGGTCGGGGAGGAACCGACGCAGGGTCGGGGGACGGAAGGCCGAGCAGGCGAAGGGCTGACACCGGCGGGGACTGCTGCTGCGGCGGCACAAAGGCGACACCGGGACCGCAAGCTGCTCCTCGGCTACCACCGGCACTCTCCACACCAGCACCCCCAGAGGGACCACCCCCAGGGCTACCGGGACGAGCACCCCCAGAGTCAGCGAACGGGTGCTGCGACGGCGGCGGCGACGGCAGCGGCAGCGACAACGACGGCTGCAGCGGCGGCAGAGGCGGTGGAGGGGGGACTGGGGAGGGGACGCCAGGGGAGGGGCGGCCGGCGAGGACTGAACAGGAGGGCCACCAGAGTCAGAAGACTCCTCAACCGGGTCCACCGACGGAAGGGGGGTGACGTGGGACACACCAGAGGGGGCTGGACGAGGAGGAGGAGGAGGAGGCGCAGGGACTACCGGGGAAGGAGGGACCAGGAACAGGGGGGGGTAACCGGGGGACCACGATGGGGGAAGCGACGGTAGTAGGAGACGGACTCGTCAAAGGTGACGTCACGAGAGTGAAAGAAGCGGTGAGATGGCGGGTGGTAAAAGTGCCAGTCGGACGCGTCTAGGGGAAAACCGAGGAAGACGCAGGGAAGGGTGCGGGCAGTGAGCTTGTCCATGCCGGAGGCACGGACGTGAGCAAGGCAGCCCCAGACGTGGAACGCAGACGCGTCACCAGGAGACCCAGTCCAAAGACGAGTCGGCGAAACCTGCGGCTGCTGAGGGTGCGGCCACAAGTTAAGCTGGTGAGAAGCGTAGCGCACAGCGAACGGCCACAGAAAATGGGGTGCACCGGCATGGATCATGGAGGTGCGAGCCACCTCCATGACCAAACCGATGCGTCGCTCAGCGACCCCATTCTGCTGTGGGGAGTCGGGTATGGTGAACGTCTGGGTGATGCCCTCCGCACGACAAAAGCGACCAAGGACACCTGAGGCAAACTCGCCACCACGATCGGAGTGAAGACGCAAGACAGGGAGACTATACAAAGCACCAAGACTATACAAAGCAGGGGATCCTACGCCTGACGCAGCAGGGAAGGCTAAGCTAGGCACACCTACACTAGGCAACAGTGAGTAATAAGCGGGAACCACACTAGAGTCATCAGCATACATCACATGCAGAGCAGAAACAATGGCATCCATGTCCATATCAAAAATCTGAATCTTACGACTAAGCAAACTGTGCCAGTCCGGGAGGTCTGGCGACGGGACGAAGCGTTGACGAAAGAGGTCGTCCAGGCGACGAAAACAGCGGGGAGTGGAGTGACCGAGCCTACCGCAAACGAAACCGCGGCGAGGACCGGTCTGGATCTGGTACTGACAACGCCCGCCACCAGAGCCACCACTCGGCACACCACCACGCGCCCGGCCACCGCCAGCGCCGGGCCACCCGGGCAGGAGGACACTCGTCTGCCGCGTCTGCGACGGCTGCTGCGGCTGCTGCGAAGGCTGCGACTGCGGCGGCTGCTGCGGCTGCTGCAACTGCAGGGGCGGCGGCTCAGCTGGACTGGGCAGGGTCCCCTCGTCCGCTCCAGCACCAGACGACCCGACCCCACCACTACCCCCTCCCGCACCCCCGCCGCCGCCGCCGCCGCCGCGCCCAACCTTGGGGCGGCGGCCCTTCCCCGAACGAAACTGCGCTGCAGCAGCAGTCTCAGCCACTGCAGCAGAGCCGTCGGAGAAGGTACACTGGGCGGGGGCACAACCCTGAAAGATAGGGACCGGCACGACACCGCTCGCCTGGGCGATGGAGCGGTGACGGGTCTCTATCACAGTCAGGGTGTCTACAAAGTCAGTGAGGGTGAGGTCTGCGGGGTGAATGCTAAGGAAGCGGTCGCGGGCGACAGCAAGGCGGTCAGGGAGGCGGGTGGCAAGCAGGTAGAGGGTAGAGGTAATGGGCAGCTGGTGAGCTCTAAGCTGTGCATCAGTGCAGGCTGCACGCCAGGTCTCATCTATCGAGCGCAGGTGGGCAGCGAGGTCAGAGACAGTAGGGAAAGATGCAAGGTCAGGAAAGAGCATCGGGAGGATCAGACGACC